CCCGGGGCCGGCGGCGGTCCCGGCCCGCGGGGAGCGCCTTGCCCATGGGAACGCCGGTCCCCGCCCCCGGCGCGGCCCCGGCCCACAGGTTCCCGCGCGGTGCTGTCGCCGAGGCCGCCTCCACCTGCGAGGATGCGGCGGAGGCTCCCGGCTCTCGTTTTTCTCCACCCAGCTACCGCCGCCCGGCCCATCTCGGTGCCGCCGCTGGCCTCACCCTGTCGGGGCGGAGCGACCTGCGCAGAGAGGGCCGGGCTGCTGGGCGGGCTCTCTCTCCATCTTCTGTGTTCGCCTATTATTTTGTTCTCTTGCGGGCAGCGGCGTCTAAACCAGTGCCTGACCGCCACGAGGGGAGCAGGGACAGGGGAAGGGGAGGAGCAAAAGTTGCAAAAAACTTTAACGAGAGCGGGACATAAGGAGAGTGGCCCTGGGACCGCGGCTCTAATGTCAGCACGGCCCCGTCCCCCCAGCGCTGCCTTCTCGCCCCCTCGGGACGCCCATCGGCACCCGAGGCGCTGAAGTGAGGGGCACCCGCCCCTCCTTCCCTTCCCCTGGGTGAGCTGCGAGCTTTTGTCTCTGCTTTTTTAGTTGGCAGGGACACTTAGTAAAGACAGCGGGTTCAGCGGTGAGCACAGCCTCCACTGAGACACGAATCGCGGCTGCGACGTCTTCACCTCACCGCCTAAACCGCCTTTTACTTCTTCTTCTTCTTTTGTTTTTTTTTTTTTTTTTTTTTTTTTTTCCCCCCCCCTTAAAAAAGTTACAAGCCGAACAAAGGCCTCTGGGAAGGAGCAAGCTCGGCGGCGGCAGGGCAGGGCTTCAGCGCCCGCCTCCCGGGGCCCGGGCGGGCCGGGGCGGAGCGCTCGGGGCGGCGGCGCGGGCAGCACCACGGACAGCTCCCCGCCGCCTCCGGCCTCCTCCGCGCCGCGGCACCCGCCGCCCGGCTGCCCCCAAAGCTGCCTTTCTAAGCGCCCCGGGTGAAGTGCGATGTCGGGCCGTGTCGGGCATCGTTCCTAAAACTGTGGTGGCTAAATTGTTCTTCATCATTACACTTTGTTTAGAAATGAGTGAAGTTTCGCTCACAATAGAGAGCTTCTTGATGTAAATTGCTGTTTCTGGTTAAATAAGTGAGCATTTAAACATGGTCTGGCGATTTCCTTGTGTTTGGTTCTTTGGTTTTTTGGTTGGTTGGTTTGGCTTTTTTTTTTTTTTTTTTTTTTTTTTTTTTTTTTTTTTTTTTTTTTTTTTCTCTTTACTAATGAGTTTTCCATTCAAGCACCAGATGCCATACAGACGTGAAAATAATGATATTTCAAAACTCCACATTATATAAAAGGAAACAAGTGGAATAGTTTAATCTATATACCCTGGTATGTAAATCACTTTGCAATGGAAACACTCAAGCTGTGGGCAGTATAGTTAAGCCTTGAAAGCACTGCAAGCTGATCTTTACAGCAGCAGCAGTAAAGAGCAATATTATAGAATCAGTTTCACAGAGATAGTGTATTGATCCTGATTCTCAGCTACAGGAAAAACAAATAAAAAGAATTCTGACAAGGCTTTGATGCCAGTGATGTCTCCATAAGGTAAAAAAAAATCGGTTCATGTGTACTGTGAAAGATTTAAGTGGGGCACTTTATCTTAACAAACAAAAAGCATGAAAATGATACCTAAAGAAAGATAAGCTTTCTATTTATTTAACTTGTTATTCCAAGGCTATGTGGTAAATAAGGTAACCAAAATATTCCTTTACACTTCTTTCAGAAAAGGGTGGCATTTCCTACCAACCTCATTAAGTAGCACTGTCAAATATATATGAATGACAAATTAAGGAGTCCTTCATAATTTTTCCTGCAGATCAGAAAAACCCACACTGTGCCATTAGGGAAGACTTCCCTCCAGCAAATTCATACATGTTCCCTTCTCCCTTTTGCGAATTCATAAATGTTCATTTTCGTGACCAAGAAAGTAAATCCTGTCCATTAGCAGAAAAAGATATTTTAGCTGGAAACTGCTTGCCCTGGAGCTGGACTCTTAGATGGGGTTCTCCTTTTGTTCTGAATATGTGTTTACTGTCTGAAGGACAATTTCACTGTCCAGCTGACGATAGCTTTAAAGAAACTGCTACACAGTTGGAAGTGACACCTTCCTGTTTCAAAGTTAATATTGGAAAGGTAAATTGTACAATCATGAGTTCAAAACAATCCTTTAGGGAGGTGTCACACCTTTCTGTGCTGCAGGGTTATTACTTATCTATATGGACAGTGACAAAATGCCAAATAAATACAGATCTCTTGGCAAGTAGAAAGACCTTGCAAGCACTGCAACAATACCATTTTCTACAATTGAAAAGAGAAAAGAGAGACATTGGGTGATTCAAGAAGATACTCATTAGTACACGTGTTGTGTAATCAACTTAGTATTGCTCAAAAACACCCGCCTAATTTTTCCTGGGGAAGAAAAAAATATTGGTAGTTTGTCCCACTTATGTTTTCTTCTAAGTGACACCTTTTAAGTAGTTGCATTTGGAGTAGAAGGTTCTGTTCTTCCTTTAGTTGGGTCTCCTTCTCTGGGAAGTGGGAAGATGGACAACACTAACATTCCTCTTCTGGATCAAAATAAATATGCAAATAAGCCAGAACAGAAAAACATCCTTTTTATATTTCTACTTGAAAGAATTTTGCAATTTTTTCAAGTAGAAGTATAAAAACACTAACTCTAATTTAGTTTGTCTCTTTGTTACGGTCTCTTTGTTACGGTATTGATAGTATTTTGGAAGTTTATTTTCTCTTTCTTACCCAGTGGTTCTTTATGTATTATTTCAAGGGAAGTGGACATCAGCACTACAAAATACTGCATAGAAACCCTTCTGGCAATTTTATGGCAATTTGCCCAACTGTATATGCAATGAGCTCTCTGTGTGCACTATTATGGAAATTGTAAGTTTTACAGGTGAAACTTAAAACTTTTTTTTTTCAAGTTTACCTTGAAACTTGCTCCCACGTTTGCTTATCGTGTTGGATATGTCATTTGGTTTCTTGTGGTTCTTTGATAAAACATTCTCCCAGGATAGCCTAATCAGTGGTAGAGAAAGTGCTCTGTTAGAAAACCAACAGCAATAAAACCAATGGCGCCCTCCCACCCCCAAAAAAACCAAACAGAAAACCGCTAAAAAAACCCCAACAAAACCCTCCAAACAAACAAACAAACAAACAAATGCAACAAAAAACACCACACAAAACAAAACAAAAATCCTGAATCACTTTCTTATGTTGAAGAACTGTAAGCTACCAAAACCAGATGCTAGCCAGCTACCTCGTCTGTAAACTACCTCTGATCTTGTTTTTTGAGAGTAACATTTTTTCCTCTACGAGGAAGAATTCCCTGATCCACAGATGTCACACTGGTTTGTTCCCATGGTTTTTACTACAGAAATCCTGATAAACCACAACACCAAAAAATGTGCTATCCAGATTTAGGGTTTTTATTTATCTTTTCCTTTTTTAACTTTCATTTTATATGCCTTCACATTCAGAGACTCAGCTGGCTGCAGAGCAAGACATGAATGCAGAATCTAGGACACATTATTAAGTTCACAAAATCTTGCACAGCCCCAGCTTCACATCTGTGGCTATTGCAGCTAAAGTTCCTAGTATCTAAGTAATATTTCTCATGTCCCTGTCATTTTAACTGTACAATGCTGAGCAAATCCCTCTGACCCTTTGGCTCACCTATAAGGTAAGGACTGTAGTCATAGACCTGAAGGACAGTGAGAGAAAGACTACTGAATTTGATATGTTTTCAGTATAAAAAGTCAAACTAAAACCTTCCACACGCACTGTCCATGGGCTTTGTGATTCTGCAATTCCAGGGAACAGTCATCCACTGTCTGAAGGAGAGTGTGAGTCAAGCATTGTGCTGAGGGCTAAGCTAAACTTCAGGCACGTATCAGGGAGCTTCCATAATCAACAACTATGTTGCAAAGTTACATAAAATTCACAATTAGCATGAATTAAACATTTAATCAATTCCCCAAGTGTATGTGCTGGTATAACCATTACTAAGGACAAGATTTCTGCCAAAGCTGCAACATAACAATCATCTTGCACTGGAGAATCAGTCCCACTGCACAAGACTTTTCCATTTTGATCACGAGTGTGGTGGCCAAAATCAGCCAAAAGCTATTGATTTCTCACTACAGCTGGGCTGCATACAAGCACACTGAGATTCTGTAGGTTCAATTTAATCTGGTAATATTGATTATTGCATCTTTATTGCTATGTGCTTATATCCCCACAGGCAACAAAGGAAAAGGATTTCCCAGTTACAGCCAACTCATATTCAGCTCGTGTCAAACTATTCCAAATGGGGCTGGGGGGTCAGCGTACATTATTTTACAATTTAGTATACAATTTAGTACATTATTACTACATACAGAGCAATTTAGTACATTATTACAACATACAGAAATTTGATTTACCTGAGACAGCAGACATCAAGGATTACTTACTTTTTTTTTGATCTTTATCCAGACCATATGTCAGCTGGTTGCAAAGTGAGCTTTGCTGGCTGTGTGTTTAGTAAATGTTTCTGAACTTCTTGGCAGCTCTGCTTGTTCTATGTTTAAGTAAGGAACACAGGGAGAAGATTAAGATGTTTTTTAGAAGCTGACCTGCAAAGAATTTGTATTAAATTAGTTTTGTCCCACTTTTGTAGAGCCTGAGAAGTTTTAAGAAAAAGAGAAGCACTAGGAGTTTCCTTTCCCTCTAGCCCAATTTGCTTTGTAGGTCAGCTTGAAAATTAGTTGTTAGGAATACCAAACATGATCTTCCCAATCTGTTTGGCAGACTACTGAGGAGAGGAGGAATCTCTGTTCAGTACAGCTATTGAAAACCCAAGGTATGAGTCACTATATAACATGTTTTAGATTCTCACACCATAATTCCAAACAATTTAGGTGATCTTTAGCTTGTGTCTTAATTTTATCATCTCCTGTTGTCATATTTTCAAACCTGTTTCATAAATCTGGGATCTTTCTTTTACCTAATC